AAATTGTAAATTGGCGACAACAGTGCCGAGCAGCAGCAGCAGCACGCCCACGGCCCGAGCCAGAGCGAGGAGACGGAACGGCCGAGCCGACAACGGAGGCAGCGAGCAAAAAGGCAGCGCGGCGCGGCTCGCGCGCCGCGTGCGCCAAGCAGCCGAGGCTGCCGAGGCTGCCGAGGCTGCCGAGGAGGCCGAGGAGGCCGAGGAGGCCGAGGAGGCCGAGGAGGCCCCCCCCTCCCCCCCGGCGACTCGAACCGGGAGCCAGTCGACGCACGAACGGAACGAACGCTCGCACATCACCGGATATGTCAACTCGCATCAGCGAGGCAGCAGCTCATATACAGTGGACTCTACTCAAAGCAGCGCAGAAGCGCTCGCAGAGCGGTGCGCAGCGCCGCGCACGCCACGCCGCGGGCGGTCGGACGAGCGCAGCGTACGTCGGCCGCGAGCCGCGTCGCCAGCCGTCTCGCGAGAGAGCGGCGCCACCACGTGCGCGCAGCAGCCGCCGCGGCAGAGACGAGCCGCGGCGACGTCCGCTAACTTCCGTTCATAAAGGATTTCCACCTCGAGAACCTCGAGAACAAATTAAAAAAAGAATTTCGCAAGTGTGCCATATGCCGACTGTCGGACTCTGCTTTCTCTCTGGCGCCGTTGCGGCCAGCCTGAGAACAACTGCCGGTGTTCGACACGCGCCACCAAGCGTGCACACGCTGAGTCGCCAGCAGGTCTGCAGCGGGGCCCTCGCGGCGCTGGCGTTGCTGCCGTCGCATGGCTTGGCTGCGGAAGAGCCTGGAAATGCGGCGTTGGTGACGGACCGTGTGGCGCTCGTCTTCACGGAGCAGCTCTCCGCCGAGGAGCGGCGCGAGTACGCGATGACTCTCGGCCTGTACGGCGGCAAGGCCCCACGCGCAGTGGAGCGCTTCAAGGCGCTCGCCACAGGCACGTTGAGCGCGCCGTGCGAGGACCAGATGGAGGCGTCCGAGGCGGAGGCGCTGGCGCGCAGCGCGCTGACGAAGCGCTCCGTCTACCGGCAGTGCCTCGCCGCCGAGGCGGAGCCAGTCTCGTACGGTGGTTGCGCCAGCGCCGTGCTGTTGCGGCGAGTGAGCTGGTGTGCGGCCAGACTCGACTCTGACCCTTGGCCCTGCAGGCGGCTCGCTCGTCTGGCGCATCACCGGCCGCCGTATCGACGCAGGGCAGGCGCGCGGGGCCGAGCCTGCCCGAGACTAGCCGAAGGCCACGCCGAGACCGCACTCATTCCTAGACTCATTCCTCTCGCGCCGCTCTCCACCTCACCTCCGCCCTCTGCCGCCCTCCGCACCGCCCTCCCATCGCCACCGCCCTCCACACCACCGCCGCCGCCGCCGCCCCCCGCACCGCCCTCGCCGCCGCCGCCGCCCTCCGCGCCGCCCTCGCCGCCGCCCTCCGCACCGCCCGGCCCTCCGCTCCCCTCCACCGCCCCCACCGTCACCCATCTAATGCAGACGGCGCCAGGCCAGACCCCTCTGGCCGCCCTCTCGCACGCACCTGGGTTCGAGGAGTCAGGGGGGTAGGGTAGGGGGGCCCATACACCCCCTACCCCCCCTACCCCTCCATTTGGGCGTGTAACGGACGTCCCACGTGGGAGCTGACCCCGCTACCCCCTACCCCCCTACCCCCTACCCCTACCCCCCTACCCCAACCCCCACCCTGGACCCCTACCCTACCCCCCAATCATCTCGAACCCAACTTCACACCAGGTATTCTTTCGGGGTCCCACCACCCATCCCTCCCTC